GAAGGAAGGAAGGAAGGAAGGAAGGAAGGAAGGAAGGAAGGAAGGAAAAAGTTTCCACAGCCCCCTTAGTCTTTCCTCAGAGAGGGAAGCTTGGTTCAGATTTGCCAACCTTAGCTGTTCTGGCCCATGAACATAGAAATAGAGGGAAACTGAATCTTGTATATATTTCCCATGGGGTCTGTCAAGTGAAAAATATGTTTAACCCCATGTTTGCCACAAACACAGCCTGTTAGCTTATTTAGAAGGGGTTCCTTCAAATATTATCTGGAACCCTTTGCTTCTTTCCTGTCTAATAAAAGGCAGATGGAAAAGGTGCCTCACAAACTTGCTCGTTGCATAAGTATACTTGGTGATCCTAGAAATCAGGATAATAGCATTTCTGAGTTAACACAGCTCAGAATCCCTGATTCTAGTTAGCACCATGTATAATACTTGCTTGACATGTACTTCATTTGTTTGTTCACCTATGGTATCAGTGGTTTTCTCTCTCGCTCTGCCTTCTGTTTTCCAATACTATTAAATGCTGAAGTTCCTATCCTATTGTCCTCATTACCAAAAGAATAAAACCCTGGAGTGTCAGTCTCTTTAGTCTGTGTGAGCAGTATCCTCATCTGTAAAGCATCCTTGAATAAACATGACTTGCAGTGAGCCTCAGATCTCCAGCTCACGTTGCTCTCTCTTCCCCTGCAACATTGCGGGTGATATTCTTCATTGAGAGTTTTGAGTAGTTTTCCAGAGAGCAGGCCTCATCATCTCACTCTGAATTTGCTTCAGGTCAGTATGCCAGTAATGTGTCAGACAAATCCTGGAGGCATCCTTTAGCTTGGTCCTTCCTAGCAGGCTGTCCTGATTGGTCATTCAGAAATACCTTATGATATTATTTATGAGTACATTCTGCTGAGATGCCTCAAAGAATAGTCATATTCATTATGGAGTTAGATTGAACAAATCAATTCAGTTCTCTTGAAGCATCTCCATTTAGCAACTGATTGTCATGCTTACACATACTTTGAGACGAATGCTCTACCTGTTTATCTTATTAGAAGTCAATAAGGCTTTTGGTGGAGATATTTTTGCTGTAGTTCAAATGTGCTTAAATATTAAAAGGAATTTTTGCACTGTGGGTTCAATAAATATCTGTTAGTCGACCAAAGGAAAAGGTAAGTACCTTAATAAAGTTCATTTTGAGGACTTCTGTTTCATAAATGATAACTTGCTATCATTATTTACTAAACCACTTCATTCTTCCTCATTAGAATTACTCTTGATATCAAAACTGTATCTGAGGATGTTTAATCTATTCCTAAGTGGGAAAATGTCTTAAATATTAAACAATTGCCGCTTACTTGGCTTGCTTACTGTTTTTTAAAGGAAGAAAGGAGATGGGGAAGATGCAGGATGGTTTTTAACCCCTATATATTGCTCATTCATCCAGTATATCATTGGGTTAAAGGCTACCACACAATTCCTGGTGGTCCTTAGATTTCTGTCTGATCAAATTTTGGAGTGATGAAGCAGTAGTGTTGGGAAACGCAAATGAAACATGAATCTTGCCAGCTTTATATGTATTGGGTAAAAAAAACCATATCTGCTCTGCAACCTGACCCACACAAACATTTTCTCCACACTCCTTTCTCCCTCTGTTAATCTCCCAGTTCTTTCTCCTTTTCTAATGCACTTGATTGAATTACTGTTTAGAATGTCCTTTGCCTCCAACCTCAACCACTATGGCATGACTCACGTAGCTAGTGTCAGCGATGTTCTGTTGGACAATGCCTTCACACCACCTTGTCAGCGGATGGGCGGAATGGTCTCTTTCCGGACCTTTGAAGATTTTGTCAGGTAAGGAATTATAGGACTGTCTTCCCTGACTGTACAAGGGAAGCCATGAACCTCTAGTTTTGGAGGTCTAACTTTTCTGAAAAAATAAAGATTTTCCCTGAAAAGCCATGAGGTAGCCAAAGAAATACAGTTTTCATTATATGTGCCCCTCAGAGAGATAGATGTCTTCCGATTTCTACTCCTTGTTCAGGCTCTTTTTCCAGTATAAAGCCTGGTCCTAGGGAAAGCAAAACAAAACAAAAAAAGAAGCAAATAAAATCATCTTTTCCTCAGGAGGTAACAGAAGAAGCTGTCTGCTCTGTGATGAGTGAAATGTCAGGAGAAATTAAACAGAACACTAGAGTGAGCCCCACTAGAGACGATACATCTTTTGATTAAATGCATTCAGCATCTATCTGTTGATGTATACTGATGCATTACCCTAGGGGGAGGGGTAATTACATTGGCCTGTCACTGCTCCAGTCCCGGGTTCCTTCTGCTGCTTTAAGAGCGATGATGACAGTGCTGCACATATCTTACATATGAAAACAAAACAAAGCAAAAAAGCTTTATATCATTTCTTAAAAGAAAAAATATATATGGTTTATTAAAGTTTAAACAATCCATCCTCCTAATTTCTGCCACTTGGTGATATTTTGCATGTCATCTCTAGCTCCTGGTATTTCTATTCTGCTGACTGTTAAGCATGTGATAGGGGAGATTATTCTTTTAGCCTAAGCTATGGTAGCAGCATTAGTTTCCTGCCACTTGGGTTTTTATTGTGGTCATTTCTCTGATTTTTTAATTTTTAAAATATTTTTATTTTTTAGGATCTTTGATGAAATAATGGGCTGCTTCTGTGACTCCCCACCCCAAAGCCCCACATTCCCAGAATCTGGCCATACTTCACTCTATGATGAAGACAAGGTATGATGCTCCCTTTAGAAGACCACTTTGTACTCTCAGATGTAGCACTTACATTATACTGTATTTTTCTGACTTCAGAATTATTATGAGAAGAATTCAACTTTTTATACTTATGTTTTATTACTTGATTTTGTATGCCTCAAAATACTTAAAAATAAATGGATACAAATTTTAAATTTATAAAGTACTATATTAATTCTGAAGCTGTGGAGAGTGTGCTCCATTATATGCATACCCATTTAATTGCCTCTGGGTCGCTAAGTGTTGCTTTAAAGATAACTTTAGTTTCTTGAGTTCCCATGCAATGATAGCTTACATCTTTCATAGTCCTCAGGAAATGGTGGACTTGCATGTTTTGTTTTTAAAGGTGTCTTTTATTAAATCTTGTTTTTATTTTCTCAGTAAATGAATGTTCCATTATTTTCCTGTGGTTTGGTAAACACATCATTGGGTGAACTGTAAGTGTAGTAAGTAGGGTGCTGTTCCAGTGCTTTCTTTCCCTCATGCAGATTTTTCATTCCCATTTTGTTGGTGAAAAAGTAGAGAGGCTGTGACTTTCAAGTTCATGTCAAGATTTGAAGTCACCTCAAACTACAGCATTTGATGTCTTATGTACTTTATTTACCTCTGCTGTGACAATTGGGCAGTAGTTTGAGTGTGCTTATTCCTCCAGAGTAGCAAACCAGAATGTCCTGTGGGTGTGTGCCTTTGCTCTACCAGGTAACTTCTTCCAGCTTCTGCAGCAGCCAGCCTCATTGTTATCTTTGGTTTGTATTCTTGGGTTACAGGTCCCCAGGGATGAACCAATACATATTCTGAATGTGGCTATCAAGACTGATGGCGATATTGAGGATGACAGGCTTGCAGCTATGTTCAGAGAGTTCACCCAGCAGAATGTGAGTCCTTGATTGGGTAAAAGCTGGTGCTGGCTCTTTTCTGCTGGCTGCTTCATAGCCTTCTTTTCTTCCTTTTCTACCTGTAAGGTTTATCATTATTGTGTCTTTTATTATAACTCTCAAGACTATGGCTAGCTTTGCCTTCAGGTAATTTAATGATCTATAGTGATTATCTTTTTATGACAAGACCTCAAATATTCAAATGTTTTTAAAGGAAATATGTTTCCAACTCTCCTCAAGTTTCAGTTTTGAACATTTGTTGTTCATTTCTGTCACACTGAAAAATACACACACACACACACACACACACACACACACACACACACACATATATATATACATACATACATACATACACACATACATATATGTTGCAGGAGGTATTAGATGAGGCAGACTTGTCTGGCTAGCTCCTGGCCTCCTCCATGTTCCCGCTCTAAGTTCCTGCACCAAGGGCAGCAGATGCACTAGCCCGGGACCCACGAGATGTTGGCTTGGCTGCTGTCTCTGCCGGTCAGCTCCGTGGAGTCCACCCCTTCAAAACCCAGGAAATATCTGCCATCCCCATGCGGTAGATGTAACAATTCCAGTACCCAGTAGAAATAAGACTCCTAACGCTTAAGATTATCCAATGGATTTATATATATATATATATTTACAAATACTCAATATACAAGATGCCCACACAATTAGAATTGTTAACCCAATTATCTAACCTTGATATTTATAACTACCTTAGACTGCTAGAGACACGCGGACATCCGTGGACATCTCACCTCTCCTTCCTCTAGCTCCGGCTACCTCTTCTCTATCCAATGACAGAGCTCTTGCCACACATATACATACATACACACACACGCACACACACGCACGCACACACACACACACACATATATGTGTGTGTGTGTGTGTGTGTGTGTGTGCGTGCGTGTGTGTGTATGTATGTATGTATGTATGTATATTTTTTTTGGTGATGAGCTCTACATGTGCTCAAACCCCACACAGGTTCTTTCTCTGTTCTTTCCTCCTCCCGCCCCATCCCACTTAAAAATATTTGTAATACTTCCAGCTTACTTTCTGGTTTTTGTCATTTGAGTGTGTAAATTACTGCTTGATCAGCGTGCGTGCGTGCGTGTGTGTGTGTGTGTAGAGTTAGTTGTTGTTGTTATTTTGGCATTTTGTGATTTTCTGAGACAGGATGACTCTATGTAGCACTAATTACCTGGAACTCACTATGTATACCAGGTTAACCTCAAACTCAGAGAGATTTCCTGCGTTTGCTTCCCATGTATTTGAGATAAATGGCAGCTTACCTTTTTTTGTTTGGTTGGTTTTGGTTTTGGTTTTTGGTTTTCTAAGACAGGGGTTCTCTGTGTAGCCCTGGCTGTTCTGGAACTAGCTCTGTAGACTGGCCTTGAAATCACAGAGATCCACTTTCCTCTGCTTCCCAAGTGCTGGGATTAAATAAGTGAGCCACCACCATCTGGCAGCAGCTTATATTTTTAAAACAGCAGTGGTGCTTATTTATATAGAAATTTATTTGTACTTTTCTACTATCTCACAAGTTTTTCATGAGTCAGGTGTTACAACTCTAGTTGTACATGGAAAGCTCAAGTTCTAAGAGGTTAATTAGTACTGATGTATAACCAAGGGGGAGATAATGGAGATTTGGAAAATGATACATTTTCATCCTTATAGAATCTAGTTAGGCGAACTGAATAGACATGTTTGAGAGTAATCAATCAACAGTGATAATGGTACTGAGGGATAGAGGTCCCAGGCATCCTGCAAACCAGGCAACTGTTCTACTACTGAACTATATTCATGCCATGTGACAGATGCCAAAGCTCTTAAAACAGCCTTTAATGGCCACACCCTTATGTTACATTTCGAGGGACAGCACTTAGTGCTGGTTATGAGGAACTCAGTAGATATTTTAAAATTTAATTCAGCGCTCTAAAAAAATGAGTGCTCTTGACATTCAGATCAGGTAATGCTCATGGTAGATACCTAGGGGGGAAATGGTGATGAAGTAATTAACATGAGTCAGCATTTACTCTGACACTTCAGAGCAGGTAAACTATGTTGGGATTGCAGTGGCCAACACAAGGAGATTGTACTTTCAGAGACGCAAATAAATTCACTGGCTTGGTAATTTTTCTCTATACTGTCTTTACTGTGGTAACTACCTAAAATCAGCCTTTAATGGCCTCACCCTTATGTTACTTTTGAAGGGACCACACAGTAACCACGGTGGAGGAGTCCTGATGTACATGGCAGCAGCCACTTCATGGAATAAATTAGTGAAAGTTACTGTCTAAACTTTTCAGTGTGAATTACCTATATTTGATTGTATTTTCACAGATTCAGGCTTTTTGTTTTCCTATGACCTATGGATTGCGCACCTTTATAAAGTGATCCAAAGAGTTTCCTCCATTCTCACACTGAGGCTAGGGAAATCTGGTGTGCTTGCCTGAGGCATTTAGAAGGGTAGAGTGGAATGCTAACACTAGGAGCCTAGAGAAAGCTTCAGTTAAGATGTTTATCTTAGAATAGTTGCTATTTTCATCTTCACATTTTAAAAATAGATGTAAGAGAAGGAGGGAAAAGCAATTTTGAAAAAAAAGTGGGAGAGTAACTCGTTTTGTTTCTCACTTCATAATCATACTTGTAGCAGTTTAGAAAAAGGTTTTTTTTTTTAAGGCACACATTAAACTATCAAGTAGGTTGATCCAAATTGTCCAAATAATCTTCTAGTCCCAGCATGTCCTTTTTTTCTCATAGAAATTAGGATCATATATTTGTAAATGACTTGTGGAGGAGATTGAAGCAGTCAGTGTAAATGGAGTTTCTCCAGGTGATGACGCCTAATCGCTGGGTAATAGCTGTGGACTTGCTGTGAGACCCGCATTATTACAATGTAATCAGAATCCTGTTGCTCTGCTGTTATTGTCAGCCACTTGTGGAATTTTAAAAGCAATAACAATTTTGATTTTAAATCATGGCATTATTAAAGTTATTTTCTTCCCTTGCCAGAACATAGCTATTGATGCTTGTCTTTGAAGGACTCGGCTGTAGTGGAATCTCTGTTGCTGTCTGAAGAGCGTCGGTTGCTTGGCACACTGAGAGAATGTCTCCACATCTCCTTTCTTTTAGCATGCTGTTTTTTGTAATGCCAGTATTTGTTTACTTAAACTGAAGAGCATTATGACAGTGTGAATAATCTTTAAATGTTACACTAAAATTTACTTATATTTGACCTAGGAATTTATAATGGAAGTTCATTTATAGAAAATATATTTTCCCTATTAGTTTTTGCTTTTGCTATCAATAATAGCAATGTCAATACTCAATAATATCATAGTAGGAATCGAGAAATAGGAAATGGCCTAAAAACTTGCTCTTTTATAAGAGAAAAACACTTTAAATTAAAAGAATATCCTATATATTGTTTAATGTTAGGAATTGGAGGCCAACAAGGTAGCTAATTGGGTAAAGACACCTGCCTCTAGGCCGATGACCTCCAGTTAGTCCTCAAAACCCGCACTAATATAGACTCAAACACACAAATAGCAAGTATAATTTTTAATTCTAGTTTATGTGTATGAGTATTTTGCTCATATGTATGTTTATGTGCCATATCTATGGCCCATGGAAGCCAGAAGAGAATGTTGAGTACCCTAGGACTGGAGTTATAGCTGGGTATGAACTACTACTTGGGTGCTGGGAATTGAACCTAGATCTTTTGGAAAAAAGGCCAGTGCTTTTAACCATTGACTCGTCTCTCCAGTTCCAATAAATGTAATTTTAATGATTAAAAAACGATCTGTTCAAGGTATATAGTAAGGAATGTAATCAAACTAAAGTCTTGCTGAGGATGGTAAAAGTCCACTTATCTTTTTCTTTGTGATTTCTCCCAAGTCATTCATCTAGTGAGATTGCTTTCCTGCTTATTGCCATGTAGCTCCTTTGTAATGATCTTTAAAAACATATGAAACTTACTGTTCATTTGCTTTTTTTTTTAGATTTACTTATTTACTTTGTGTATATGAGTACAATTATAGTTGTCTTCGGACACACCAGAAGAGGGTTTCAGATCCCATTACATTACAGATGGTTGTGAGCCACCATGTGGTTGCTGGGAATTGAACTCAGGACCTCTGGAAGAGCAGTCAGTGCTCTTAACCGCTGAGCCATCTCACCAACCCGTTAATTTGCTTTTTGAAGTAAATAAACAGTACAGCATTGAGAAAAGCTTAAGTTTGGGAGTTCAAGGCTCACTTAAGAAGCTATATTAAAGCCAATGTTTTCTGTTGATTTCTAACATCTTACTTGCCTATACCAAGTGGATTTATGAATGATCCTCAAGATTAAAAACTTGTTAAACATTGTTTGGAATGCCCACCTTTTAAAGATGGCAACTTGCTTTAGTCTAGGTTGTTTCTACCTATCTTTCTCCCACAGCCTCCTGAGTGCTGGGATTACAGACAGGTACCACCAAGCCTGGCAGCTTCTTATATATTTACTATTTTAAAATATACATTTTAAATTATGTATATATGTGTCTGTCTGTGGAGATATACATGCAATTGCAGGTGTTCACAGAGGCCAGAGTTTTCAGATTCTTCTGGAGCTGGATTTACAGATAGTTGTAAACTGCCCAATAAGGGTGCTGGGAAATGAACTCCTGTCTTCTGGTCGAACAATACATACTCTTAACTGTTGAGCCATTTCTCCAGCCCCTCAGATCATACTTCTGTTCATTCTTTGAGAACTTTAGCCAATCTACTCTGATGTCATCCATCCCCACTCACACTCATCTCCCTGCCTCACCTCACTTCCCATCCAACTTTAAGATGTCCTCCTCCTCTTCTCTCTCCTCTTCTCCCTCCTCTTCTTCCTTCTCTTCTTCCTCTTCCTCCTCTTCCTTGTTCTCCCTCCTCTTCTTCCTCTATGTAATGTCTGTTGCCCTATTACTCTTCTGGGAATGAGCCTGCCCTGGAGTGTACTCAAACTACCAGAGTTCACATCATTAAAGAAACCTGACTCACACCAGGCAGGTCTTCCCACCTCAGTTAATATAATCAAGATCACCCCACACAGGGGCCATAGAGATGCCTCTGAAGTTAAGAACACTGTGCTCTTCCAGTGGGTTTGGGTTTGATTCCCAGCTGTCACAGGGCAGCTCACAACCATCTGGATCTCTAGTTCTAAGAGTGCTGATGTCCTTTTCTGGTCTCCTTGAGCACTGCATACATGTTATGCACAGCTATACATACACTTAGGTGAAATGCCCATACCAGAAAATAAAAACAAAATAAACCATTATTAAAAATTACTCCATACTGACATGCCCACAGACCAAGATGATCTAGACAATCCCTCTAGAGATTTTTTCCCCTATGATTCTAGATTGTCACACTGACAATTAAAACTAAGCAACATAGTATGTTTTACCTTGAGGTGAATTAGTTCTAAGATTTCATATGGCGCGTGCTTCTCTACAGAGTTCTCTTTCTGTTTTCTCCTGATGAATATAACATCTATTTTTTAACACTTAATCCGAGGAGCAATGTTCAAATTTATTTCTAATTTTGAAGGTTCTGAGATGAGGTCTGTATTCCAGAAAGGGTGCTTATTCCAGTCAGAATCTTGTAAAGACTAAATAAGGTAAAATTTTATTGTCATCTATCTTATGTTTTGTATGGTTTTTTTTGTTTATTTTTTTTTTTATAGAAAGCTACTCTGGTTGAGCATGGGATCCGGCGACTTACATTCCTAGTTGCACAAAAGGTATTGACACATGAGTTATATCTGCTTAGTATTTATGTTGCCATCACAATCTTAAAGATAGGAAATGGGATTTCAATAATATGTTATTCATAGACTCTGTACAAAGAAATAACTATTTCTGTATAAATTTAATTTTTTTAAAAAAAGCTTTTGATAATATTTGAAATTCTGGGAACATCTGTTACTCAGTTTATTTTTAGTATTTTCACTAATTGCCCAATTTACTAATTTTTATTAACTGGTCATTTATTCTTTTCTCTCCTCTCCCTGTTTTTTTTATTTGAAAGGACTTCAGAAAACAAGTCAACTGTGAGGTGGATCAGAGATTTCATGTAAGTAAAAAGATCAACTGTAAAAGATTTTATCTGCTTTTAAGTGATTACTTAAACAGAATTTGTCTGAGTTATTTGGGAGGGCTAGATGAGTATCAGCCATCTATGGGAATGAGTTTTTAATTTTATCTAATAGTCTATAGTAAGTTTCTTCTTTTTTTAAACTCTGCTTTAGAAGTCTCAGTGTAGCTCTGAGACATAGATAAGGAGGAGCATGTACGTTACCTCTGTTGAGTAAGAAAGAGGAACTCAGCAGTCGTTTTCCCTACACAGTCTCTACACAGTGAGTCAGTGAGACAGCTGTGGCTGGTGTACTTGATTCCTACTAAGCATGGATACAAGTTCTGATATCAGGAAACTTCAGTTTTGAAGGCCAGTGATTTATTGTTTAAAATGCATTTGCAGAGCCCTAGTTGTTATTTTCTATGTTAATTCTAAAAGCAGAAATAAATAAATACTAAGCATTTTCTTTGTTCTTTCATTTAACTGACTTAACTCTTTATATTTGTGAGGTTAAGGCTTTTTTTTTTTTTTTTGGAAAGAAAGTTAAGCTAATAGTAGGCATCTAAACTTTAGTTTACACTGAGGTCATAACCAGTATGGTCATAACCAGAAACCTAGCCTGTATCCATGGTGTCACTCAGAATGATAATTGTAGGCGAAATGTTTCATTACAAATTGTTTCTGTGTAACTAAGCAAGGTTGCAAGGGTGTTAGGAAGTCTTGTTTTTTCTGAGAAAATTTCTACTGTTTTTGTTGTTGCTATTTGCTTATTGTAGTAATTAACATAATTAAGCTTACTATTCAGGTACTGCTCATTTGTAAGAATGGGCAGGTAACATTTTGTGTTCTGGAAAGGGCTTCCTAATCTCAGGGCATTTGATATTTTGTTTTTCCTCATACAGTCAGCTTGCTGATCTGTCTAGTCTATAGAGAAGTGAGAGAGCCTGCCCTGCGAGCTAAACAGCTAAGATTTTTCTGAAATGCTTTAGGAAATGTTGTGGACTCCACAACTCGCTTGTGTTATTGATGTCAGGAAATCCAGCAGAGTGCAGGTACACATCAATCAATAACTTCAGATAGGAAACAGGAGTCAGTGGAGAAGTATGAGGAGCTTAGAGAGAACCCTGGGGCTTTAGGAAGAAAAATCAGGAGCTTAGAGAATAAAATTGATACTTGGGGATAGACTCTGAGTGCCCATGAATAAACACTGTGGCTGGTAGATGATATCGGAACTAAGGTACATATGCCAGAAGTCAGGCCCTGGGTGTGTCAGAATTAGGCTAGGTTTCTGAATCCTTTATCATGAACATTGGAATTTTAGCATATTATTAAAGAGATTGACATGAATTTGTAAAGTTATTTTACCTTTTATGCTTAGAGTGCATTTAGTGTCATCACATGTACAGTCCAGTGACTGGTTTCCTATAATATTCCAGGATTAAATAAAATTGTCCCCTAAATTTTTCAAAAAAACAAAACTTACTATTTTATTAATATTTTTATTTTTACTATAGATATGAAATGCATACTAAATACAACAACAAGCAGCAACCACAGTAATAGTACAAAAAAACCATATTTCTGAATCTGTCTTATCTAACTGCTTTAATTTTTTTTCTTCCTGCTGTGCTCATATTTCTGAATTTAGGTTGCATAGGGATGTGTATCGCTCAAATCTCTTAGTTAATGAGGCTAGCAGGCTAGTCTTCTAGATGTTATTGTCCAGTTTTTATTTATAGTAGCATCAAGTGGCAAATCAGTTAGATTATAAATGCCTTCATTTTTTGAATGTAGAAAGGCTGCTTTAGAGCCAAGTGAACATTTAAAGTTTTGTTGTGGGGCTGGTGAGATGGCTCAGTGGTTAAGAGCACTGACTGCTCTTCTAGAGGTCATGAGTTCAAATCCCAGCAACCACATGGTGGCTAACAACCATCTGTAATGATATCTGATGCCCTCTTGTGGGTGTCTGAAGACAGCTACAGTGTACTTACATATAATAAATAAATAAAAATTTTAAAAAAAAAAAAAAAAAAAAGTTTTGTTGTGGGCTGAATTTGCTGTAAAGAATGGGACATTTTCATGTTTGGCTCCTTAGAAATGATTGTTGGGTTTGCAGGAGATAAGGGCAACTTATTACTGAACTGCCAGGGAACCTTGATGAGAATTGTACAAGCCAGGAGTATAGTCCTGGTGCTTCTCTGAGTTTTTCTGTTGGTGGTAGCTTGCCATTCATGAAGAATGCTTAGCCTTTGTCATATTGTCTGATATGTGCTTGGCCTATAGTTAGTGTAGTGTGAAAAAGAGGAAGCTTTCCAGGAGTGTTAGAGATGAATCCCTTGATCTCCCTGACTTCTTGGTAATCCACAGTGATGTATGCAGCCTCCTCTGTTCTACACTGTGAAATCTCTGTATTACTGAGTAGAACAGAGAGTGTGTCTGTGGTGCAGCAAGGAGAGGAGAAAGGTTACCAAGTTTTGTTAGCAGCATTGGTTGGTGAGGAGTGAAACAAACTTGTCTTTCAAAGTCATGAATCTTTCTGTCTACCCTAGAACTAAGAGACAAATTAGGGCCAGACAAGAAAGAGGGACTCATAGCTGGGCAGTATACACCTTTAATCCCAGCACTAGAGAGACAGAGGCAGGTGAACCTCTGAGTTCAAAGCCAGTCTATTTTACAGAACCAGGTTCCAGGACAGCCAGGACTCCACAGAGAAATCCTGTCTTGAAAAATCAAACCAACTGACCAAACAATAACAATGATGAAATATGGATTCATAGAGTGTGGGTATACTGTAAGGTGTTTATTCCAATACCAATGAGTCCATAAGCAGTTCAGAACCTCATTGTGAGGTCATGATTGTCAAACAGAAAACTGGCCACTGGTATGTATGCTGCTTCCTTGACTATTTGATTCTATCTATACACAGACTCTTACTCTGACACAGCTATTACACCAGCAGTAAAAGTACTGGGTATGGAATCTGTTTTCATAGCCAACTAATTAAGTCAACTCTCCTTAATGGGAAGCAAAGAACTGCTTAAAATTAATGTTTAAATAGGAAGTTGCAGAAAAAACAAGTCTGCCCTTTTAAATATATATGTTACAGTTAAAAAAAAAAAAGATGAGGTTTCTTGACTTGCTTTTTGTTTGCTTGAGTTTTTTATTGTTTTCTTTCTTTTTCTTTTTTTTTTTTTGGGTGGCAAGGTCACACTCTGTCACCTCAGCCTCCCATGTGCCAACATACAGGCATATACCATCCTGCACTGCCTTACAGCTTTGGCTTCTTGAATTTCTCTATTGAGTCCTGGTTAGTTACATTAGTATTTTAGATTATAAATCCCAAAAGCTATATAAGAAGAAGCTAATTGGTATATATTATGCTCTTTAAAATTTGAGTTTCTTTTGCTTTAAAGCAAAGATATTTTCAAGGATATTAAAATATGAATTTTTAGAATATCTTCTTTTCTTTTAAAGAAAAACCCCATAAGGTCCAAATGTGACAGGATTCAAAATCACATAGTTTGTGTTTTGTCTAAAAAATGTTTCCTTTTTTTTTTTTTTTAAGAGTTTGTGGGATTTTTAAAAATTGCCACAAATTTCCCAAGAGTTAGTGGGACTTTCATGATTGTTTACATGAGTGTGACTCCCGTGTAAAGCAAAGTAGTTTGGATTATTATGGCCTTGAGGGAGGTGTTTCCTATCATAAACAGTTCTCATGGCTCATAGTAGTTTGTGTTCGCCTCTTTTCCATTTTTAAGGTAGTTCTGTTTACTGGTGGACTAACTAGCCAGGTTTGGTTAGGGGTTTGTTTTAATTACAGTCTATATAATTAGTTCTCAGCATGTTGAGGTAGAAGAGAATTGCACCAGCAAGCTCCCAATTTCTTCATCTCATTAGGTTTTTAACACGATTATTAGTATCATAATCAGCTATGATGCTTTCTCTTTCAGGGTTTCACATTCTCTGATTTGCAGGGTGTCTTGATTGGCTAATTTAGGCAAATTATTTTGATTGTCTTGATGATGGTTGGCTGATTAGAACACAGCAGGGGTATAATTTCTTCCTGAGAAATGTTGCATTCTTTTGGTTTTTTTTTTTTTTTTTTTTTTTTTTGGTTTCCGAACACTATGAGGGTTTTCTTTGTGTACATTCAATTATGATATTTGCCCATAACACTAGAGCATTTGTGGAAAGCAATTACATTACTGATAGAATAAGCAGGAATGCTGGGAGTGGGAAATTTGGCAGCATGAAGATGAGTGAGGCACAGTCAGTCACTAAAGCCATGGGATCAGAGTGGAGTTTTCACTCTATTTTTATCCTGATGTTTTGTAGTATTGTGTTTGTCTTATAAGCTCCAAAAAGTTGCCTTAATGGAAGCCTGCAGAGTGAGTTGATTCTCCTGCTTGCCTATTGCAGACATTTCTTGCCAGCCCCTGGTGGAAATGTTCTGAATTTCAGTGTATCAGAGTTTACTCAAAAGTTGAGGAGGGTGGTACATCACCTCCAGATGCCTTTTTAGCTGTCTGTGATGGAGCTGCATTTGCTGTTTGTTGGGGAGGAGTTGCTTCTTGTTCTGAGATTTGTTTTGTTCTTTTGAGACAGGATCTCACTGTGTAGCCTTGAGTGTCTTACAACTCACAGAGATCTACCTGCCTCTGCTTCCTTAGTCCTGGGATGAAAAGTATACACCACCACACCCAGTAAAATCACATTTTTAAACTGGTACTTTAACTCTGTCTTGTTAGCATACATAGCTTGCCCTCTCCCAAAAGAGTAGCCCTTTTCCTATGCAGTGAAGATATTTCTGTTCAAACTGTCTGATTTTCATGCTTACAGATTTGATTCATTGATTTGGTGGAAAAGAAAGCCTCTGTTAGAAATTTTTGGTTGCTACTGTTTTGTTTTTCAACAAAAATGGACAGGTGTATACAGAAATAACATATACAAGTGTCTCAGTTCAGGTACATAGAAAAGTGAGTGCTTTTAAACATCATCTGATGACATTACTTACTTTGCTTTCAAGGAAACCCCATGGAATGATTTGTTTGTCTTTTTGTTTTGTTTTACTTTTTAGGTGATAATCTGGAAGCTAGATTTCTCTAGAATTAAACTAAAACTAGACACTGTAAAGCTCGGAGTATAGAATCTGCTGGCAGCTCAGCTAGAAGCACTTCCTACTTAACTTTGACATTATGCTCCTGTTGCTGCATGTCATTGGAGCAGCCAGAAGGAGGTGTGCCAGAGAATTGTTTAGAACAAAATCCTATTAGTAAAATGTCAGTCATATGTAAAACCCACTTTCACTTTTGAAGGGCTTTTAAAGACCTTTTGATTCTTCTAGTGTTGGTAAATGAACTCCTAGAAATCTGTTAAGTTCAATTTTACAGTTAAAATACTAGGAAAATGCCGGCAGTCCTGGTGAGGCTGTCCTTCATTACCAGGCAGAGGCAGGTGGAGGCGAACACAACCTCACAGTGAGTTCCAGACCAAGATGACACAGTGAGACCCTGTCTCAAAAAAACAACAACTAGGAAATTATAAAATGATTTATTAAGTGTATAAGTGTGAGGGTGAAGCAGAGTATATGTAGAAACAACTACAGAAGCTTTCTGTGAATTAAAAACTCACAGTGTTACAGTATGCCTCGTTTCCTATTGTCTTCATTTGCCCTCTTTTTATTTTTTTTTGTCCTACCAAAGAAAAACACATCTAAATAAGGATGTTTTGATCATAACAATAAAAAGATAACAGCCTTTTCTTGAAAGTCAAAAGGCATGGGCTGTCATGATAGACTTAGGTTGATTTCCCCCTTTGAGCTAAGCCTTGCTCTTTAAAGCAGGGGCTGTGATCAGGCCCTTAAAGGGCACAAAACTAAAGCACCCTCCAACTAGTAGATTTTGAGTCTGCACTTCCTTCATGGCTCCTGAAGAATGCATCCAGCTAGTCCTGGTCTCTGCCTTGCACCAGCTCTTACTTGATTACACTGCACTCATAATGAGGAAGGTGCCTAATGGAACCTCCTAGAGAGGAAATAGTAATGACTCACCGCAGCACTGCCAGGAGAGCTTCCCATCCGAGAAACAGGAGTATTTGGTGTTAATAAGTTAAATTTCAGAAACTAATGAACTCCGCTAATTGAATTCATCTTTGTTAATTAATAGGGTTCTAGTAAATTGGTTACTTTCTTGTGTAATGCTGTGCAGGAAGACCTAATGATTTCAAGTTCACTGGTCCCAACCTCTCTTTTCCTAGATGGAGCAGCAGTGACCAAAGGAGCACTGACTACTTCCTTTGTCTTGGAATGTTATTATTTAAATCCTTAGAATGATTGGCTTCAAAATGAATGGGGTGAGGGGGGTACCACAGGCTCAAATTTTACTTGGCTAGTTTACATTTGACGAGTTTTCTTAAGGAGAAACTTGGGAAATCAGACTAGTAAGTCCCACTGCAGTGGTTGTAGTGTAAGGGTATATTGATTTTATTTGCCAGATTGTGCCAAAAGTAACATGCAGGAACACTTTTTTTCTCACTTGAGAAATGAAGTAAAAACTTTTTTCTTGGGAGATGATCGCTACTAAAGGTAGGTTGCTAGTGTAGTGATTCTCAAGTGGGGTCAAAGCAAGCATTACTCAGAGGGCCTTTCTTCCCTGGAGTAAGCTCAGATAAGAACATGCTATCTGGGAAACTGCCTTCTAGACACTTGACTGAGGCCATACTGTATATTGTGTCCCCAAAGAGCCATTTCATGAAGGACTAACATACTTTGCCTTTTTCTTTAACACAGAGAGAATTCCCCAAATTTTTCACATTCCGAGCAAGGGATAAGGTAAGACTGTTTAGCACATTTCTTCTTTTTCTCTTCTTTTCTCCTTCCTCCTCCTCCTCGTCTTCCTCCTCCTCTTCTTCCTCCTCCTCTTCCTCCTCCTCCTCCCTCTTTCCCGTCCTCCCCCAAGCCCACATCCTTCCCTCCTCCTCTCTTTCTGTGCTGTGTAGTTAATTGCTGCCATTCTCCTTTCTTTAAAGCATGATTCCTTCATTGTTTGCTTTAGAAAGCGATCAATGTGTTGACCCAAAGAAGGCCATAACTTCCAAAACATCCCTTTCCTTTGGAACAGTTTTGATGTGTTATTAAAGACTGCTTTATTTAGTGGGATTATTTTTGTTACCTATAGACAGTTGATTTATATTCATCTCTTCTTTGTGTCCATGTGGTTTTTAGTTTTAAAGTAAATTTTCATACCATGTTGATTTCTCCCTCCTACCAGCTTATATTTTAGGTGTCTCTTCCATTGACTTAGTTGACAGACTTTCTAACAAAACAATTTATATCCAGCAAACATGTAGAGATGGACTAATAAAACTTTTTTTTACATAAGCAATGATGTAGCTATTAGGATGGAATGTCCCAAAGCTGAGTACCATCTAAAAATTATATGGTAGTTATTTATTATTATGTTCTTTGTGCTTTGTCATAAATGATAAGATATAAGTCTTGCTCTTAAGTATCTCATACTACTTGGGTTAACTCACAACACTGTCATGTGAAGTAGATATTAATTAGTGTGAAGCAACCTGTATAGTTGGTTGTTTTTAAAAAAATTATAACACTATTAGATGTTTTAGGAGTTCTGAGGGAATTGGATTTTTCTGTTGTTTTCATTTAGTTCTCTTTTTTGGGGACATAATCTTACTATGTAGATCAGGCCAACCTAAAACTCAAAGAGATTCACCTTGATCTGCTTGAGAAACAAAGGTGTTTGAGACCTCCCTCCCTCCCTCCCTTCCCTTCCCCTTCCTTCCTTCCTTCCTTCCTTCCTTCCTTCCTTCCTTCCTTCCTTCCTTCCTGTTTGTTTTTTGGTTTTTGTTTGCTTTTTTGAAACATGGTTCAATCCTCCTGCCTCAGGCTCTTGGGTGCTGGTGTTGCAGACGTGAGTCACCATGTCCAGTCTTTAAGAATCTGTTTTACCAACACAATCTTAAAGTAATTTTGCAATTATTGCCTCATGTAAGCTGTTTCCCCTCTGATTCTTATGCTCAGTTTGAGGAGGACCGCATTTATCGACACCTGGAGCCTGCTCTGGCTTTCCAGTTAGAGCTGAACCGCATGAGAAATTTTGACCTTACTGCCATTCCTTGTGCTAATCACAAGATGCACCTGTACCTTGGGGCTGCTAAGGTGGAAGTAGGCACAGAAGTGACTGACTACAGGTTCTTTGTTCGTGCGATCATCAGGCACTCTGATCTAGTCACGAAGGTAGGTATATTACACTAATGGGGAGTTATCCTTGAGGAAAAGGACAGAGAGTCAGTCACAGCTCAAAATCATGGTTTTAATATTTGAATCAGAGCTTTTGCCTTTGTCACTTTCCAATATTCCAAATAATAAAAGGCTCATTTTTCTTTAAGTTGATTTTTCTTGATATTAGAAGCATGAAGGCACTCACCTGAAGAAAGAAAAGTATGCTCAGCAGGAAAAAAAAAGTACAAAGACTTGGGTAATGGTAACAAATAAGAAAGTTATAGTAACCCTACTGTAAACTTGTCAGAATGCATGGGCTTCCTCCCATGCTAACTACTGCATTCCACTGCCGTAAGCTTTCTTTAACTCTCTATTCTCAAGAGGTTTTCTTTCTACAGAGCTCTGGCATATGTGAAACATAATCATACTGAGGTTTTTGCTCTGGGGATGCCTAGCATCTCTACCTCTTAAAGGCAACTATATCCTAAGAGGCTGGAGAAAGGGCTGACGGGCTCTCTATTTTAGCCCTTTTCTGCCCTTGCCTAACTACCATCAGTAGACTGACAACTAAAAGAAAGGTAAACCATGTATAACCAGATACCTTACTATTTTGTCATATTGTTTCTTAAGTTGTACACCTGCCCATTCAAGTACATGTGGAGGCTAGACATTCACGTGAAGATGTCTTCCTCTGTTGCTGCCCATTTTATTTTTATTACTATTTGTGTTTATGTGTGTGTACACACACAGAGACAGACACACACACACAGAGTTCCATTGGCTCTCTACCTTGTTTTTATTTGAGACAGTATCTCTTACTGAACTTGAAACTTACAGGATCAGCTAGAGTGGCTGATCTGTGAACTCTTTGATTGACCTGTCTCCATTTCCCACCTTCCCCTGATATTGGGGTTACAGATGCTGGGCTTACAGATGCTGGGTACCACTCAGCTTTTTCATGAGCACTGGAGATCCAAACTCAAGTCCTTGTGCTTTCCCAGCAACTAAACCATTTTCCCAGCCCCTCTTTATTGTTTTAGAGCACATTAACAGTGGTGATCTTCTTCCTATATAGGAAGCTTCTTTTGAATATCTACAAAATGAAGGGGAGCGGCTGCTCCTGGAAGCCATGGATGAATTGGAAGTTGCTTTTAATAATACAAATGTCCGAACTGACTGCAACCACATCTTCCTCAACTTTGTGCCCACAGTCATCATGGACCCATCAAAGGTACATTTCTCACAGTTTTCTCTGTCAGTCCTGACCAAGCAACTCATTTGTATGCGGCCCACGTGTTAGTGAGTTGACCTCTTAATTTTTTAAAGTCACAGGTTGCTTGTTAAGACTATTTCATAGGGCAGTCTCAAAATTTTTTTCTATCTAGTCATTAAGGATAGTTGTCAAAACTGAAGGTTATGTGCTACTTACTTGCTGGTTATTTTTTTGCTGTAGTAAAAACTCCTCCATTGATGATAGTTTTATATTTGCCATGTCCTGTTTTATATAGTCCCCTAGAATTTCTCATCTGAAGTAATTAATTTACTATTATTAGACATTTTGACTAAATTATTACCTTTATGCATTAAATGCTACTTATGAATGACCTTGCTTAGCTGCAATAATGTCCCAAACTGTCTACCCTCTTTCCCCACAGAGAGAAAATTTGGCTGTAAGGAATTTTATATGATGTATCTGTTTTTATCTCTGAGGCTCTATTCTAAACTTTTTAAATTAAGGGAAATACAAAGATGGTTTCAAACTTAGCTTTTATCCTACCTAGGTGAAACAGGGAAGGGCAAGTGGCTCTGTTCCTGATCTTTCTGCCTTTTCCTCTGTTGTTGTTGTGCATTTGTATAGGACTGTCAGTATCTCCTTTCTTCTATATCTATTGTAGACATGAACATTTGCTTCTTCTTAAAGCATTGTCATGTGTACCTCAAGCTAGCCTCGAACGTCCCATGTAGCAGAGAATGATCTTCAGCTTATGGTCCTCCCTCCACCTCCCAAATGCTGGGTTATACAGTACTGGTGATCAAACCCGGGGCTCTATGCATGCTTCCTAATCCCTCTGCTATCTGAACTGCCTCTCCAGTTCTGATTTTGCTGGTTGAAGTTAGTGGCCGAGACCTAAGAAAGTTTTCTTTTTTTTTTTTTCTTTAAAACCCCAGGCTAATGATGTGATAATTGTGTCTGTTTGGAAAGCTGTTCTTTGGGTTTCAGTTCTCATCATCAGATACAGCAGAATTTCACTTCAGCATCAATGAAGCTAGAAGTCTTACAGCATGGTTAGGACACTGTATATTTTTAGATTGGCCTTTTCTTTATTAATTTTTTTTTTTAGACATCAGCCTTGCTGCCCCTTCTCTGAGTACTCAGACTCCACCTTGCTAATCACACATCTGTTGTTTCCTGTACACACAGATTGTTAACTTTTATCCCCTGGAGAAAAGAATGGTTAGCAAGCACAGGGTGGGAAAAGGGAAGTTATCTACTTGAAACCTATTCTAAATTAAAATTCTATGGTACAGAAACAAAATGCATGCAGAGTGATACCTACTACTGAAAGCCATAATTGGGGCATATAAGGTGATTTTAATGCTTTGTGAGAAGCTGAGATAGCACTGAGAAAGACACTTCAGAATGACCTGGGTACTTGCAGCCCTATAGGGAACAGGTAAAGCTTTAGCATGTTAGGAACAAAACCATTAATGCATTTATCTACTTGATAAGACTTGGTTCTTTTATACTATGTGGGTTCCAAGGATCAAATGGAAGTTCCCAGACTTAGTGGCAGGTGCCTCTATCCACTACGCCATCTTCTTAACTTACAAAGTCACTTCCAAAGATATCCATTTAAAAGAAGTCTTCTAACTCTGTGGGATACCAAACTGTCTCAGTACCAAATTTCAAGGAAACGAGGGAACATCTCATCTCTATAAATACCAGATGGACTTGGCAGTGACCAAATTTTAAAGATCTAATGTTTAGAAGGAATGTTCTGGTATAACCTACAAATTGCCTTTCTTTAATTTGTGCAATTTACTAAGAGACATACATTATCAAGTTTAATAAAATTTTGTGGGAAAAAGCTCATGGTGGTAATTGCTGTGTTGATTTAAGGTCGGGGAAAGTGCAATGAAACATAGTTACCATGCATAGAAATGCTACTTAATAGCTATTTAACCAGGGGTTTTATTCTTATTTGGGGCTTTCTCTTAAATCCTCTGGCTTTTAATTTTAGATATTGCAGATCGTTGATATACAGCATGAATATAATTAGGAAAGGGGAAGGAGTTGAACAGATCTGGAGGTTGTGATTCAAAGAAAACCACTCAAATTCCAAACCAGCATGAAATTGTTTCTGACTTCTTCCAAGCAAGAGTAGGAATGGGGGGTGTCCTAGTTTCTTTCTTCTACTGTGATGGAACCCTAACAAGGAAAACTACAACCGAAAGCAATGTAGGGAAGGACAGGTTTTATTTCAGCTTCCACTTCAGATCCCAGTCCGTCATTGAAGAAATTCAGAACAAGAATTCAAGGTAGGAACCTACAACAGACAGCATGGAGGAAGGCTGCTTACTGGCTTGCCTACCAGCTCAAACTCAGCTTTCTTCTTGTACAGCTCAGGTCTACACTCCTAGGGATAGTACTGTCTACAGTTGTCTGGCCCCCTCTTACATCTATCAAGACTGTCTAACCAAGGCAACTCTTCAGTTGCGGTTTCCTTCTTCCCAGGCGACTCTAGGTTGTATCAAATTAACTATAAAAACTAAGTAGGACAGGGAGAATAAATGATATGAGTTCTCTTTATAAAGTCTAAATGTGGTTCATATCTCCATAAACCAGCATCTTATTCCAATGGTCTTTTGCAAAGATGTGCAAACTTAAAACAACTTTTAGTTACAAAGTTTCATATTTGTACTTGGTATTGTATCTGTGTCAGATTGAAGAATCTGTGCGGAGCATGGTAATGCGCTATGGAAGTCGGCTATGGAAATTGCGGGTCCTCCAGGCAGAACTGAAAATCAACATTCGCCTGACAACAACTGGAAAAGCAATTCCCATCCGTCTCTTCCTGACAAACGAGTCTGGTTACTACTTGGACATCAGCTTGTATAAGGAAGTGACTGACTCCAGGACAGCACAGGTACAGTAGTCAAGCAGACTCCTCGAAGGTTTGATTTGGTTTAACACATGAAACCCCATTGTTTATACTTTACGTTTGAAAACATCTTTGTGCCTCTTGACAAACATGTTATAAAACCTAACTTGTTGGATGTTGATGGATATCCAACCTTGTTGGATATTGATGAGTGCTAACAGGGCAGGTAAACCAACTTCACAGGTGATTGTGTAGTTCAGAGGGTTTCTTGTTTCCAGGGGCTCTTGTGCTACTTAGTAATCTAGACTGCCTGGTCTGATTTCTTCTTCCTGTTCTCAGCACAGTTGATACTTCACTGGATGATGAAGAAAGGAGACTTGCTGGAATTTATCTACAACTTTTGTCTTTAAAAAGGGAAAATTTCAGCGTAGTCCTATATCAGGAACAGGGCCAAGCAGTGGCTTCTGCGTGCTTGCACACTGCGTTTCCAGTCAGACATTCTCACTTTCCGTCACTGACCTGAGTGTTTGTTCTATGTATACTTGAGTAAAGTGCCATACTGTAACCTACTTCCAGGTAGGGGAGAGGGGGGAATAGGGGAATGCAGAATGAAAAATGAATCACCTGATTCTGTGATAACCACATTCTTTTTTTAATTTGCTCACTACATACATTTCTAACCATTTGGACTATTTTCTATGATATTGGCACATCTTCAGAGGTAGTATGTTATTTTAGGGCTTCAGTGGGTACTTGGAAAGTGTACTTCTGCAGAAGGGTAGGCTTGAACCAAGGTTTTAGACTGTTTTATGCATTTGGTTCTGGCAAGAGATTATGTGGCTTTTGCTTTTATTTAAATCCGGGAATAGAGGTAGTGCTTTTTTAAAATCCTAGTTTAGGCAGTTTTCATAGTGACCTTTCATTTTGTTCTGTGATTCTCAGTTAGATAACCAAAGAACTCTATTCTTTAAGAAGCCAGCAGTTAGAACAGTATGCATGGAGCACAGGGTGAGTGAGAAAAGGGGCTCCATAGGTTTTGCTGCATGTGATGTTTTTCAGGACAACCTTAAGGACATTCTCAGTCAAGGCTTCCATGGCTAGGGATGCTTTTAATTAACTTCTGCAATGGCTTCAAGGCAGACCTATTCTTCTGTAAAATAAGAGAGCCACTTGAGATTTTAATGGTTTGATAAATATGTTTTTTTCTTCACAACTTTCTTCTTTTTTTCCATTTATTTTATTAGAAAGCTCTTAGATTTCCCTGATGCTGGTTGGTGGTGACACTGGCGCATGAAAGACATAGGTGCCTTCAGCAGAGATTTAGTATTGTGCCTGGCACAAAATAAACACTTAATAGGCGTCTGCAAGAGTGAATAAGCTGCCCTCCACCTGAAGGGGAGCAGCATATTTAAAAAGCTCTAGAGGAAGCCTAGCCTTGCTTCAGCATGGAAGCCAGGTTGTAAGCAGTGGTAGAAGTGGGAACTGACCACAGAGCAGCCCCAGCCACTTCCGTGTGCCTGTGACTACTGGTGCTTATCTTTGAACTTCATTTCCTCTTTTCTTGGTGTGAATCATAGGAAACTGATAATACAAGACCGTGTTTATCATCTATTCATTTGCTTATTTAGTATTTACTGATACGTATACTGTGTCAGGAACTATGGCTACAAAGCAGTTCCTCCTTAAGAAATGTATTATTTCAATGGAGAAGACAAGGTGAGTAACGGATGTTTGCATGATATGATGAGAACCATTATAAAGAACATACATGCAGGGTTCTAAGGACACTCGTTGTGTAGGTCACAGATGGTTCACAAAGAGAAGCCCAGCTGCAGCCGTCGGTGGGAGGTATAAATAAAGCCTGTGAATGTTTTCACACTTATAAAACATGCCCTCCACCAAATAATTATCATGTTCATCATAGGAGAAATTGGAACTAACATAGATAGCTGGTCTTTCAGGGCTTCAATTAGGATCCATTACTACCAGCCTCTTGCCCTACTACTTTCTTTGCCCCGCTGATGAGAAGAAAAGTTAACTGGTTTGATTTTCATGTTTCTCATATTGTCTTTGTCCTATAGGCTGTAATGAACAATGTCAGGCAGTCTGAAGTAGGCAGGAGAGGTTTGGGTTAATCTGTTACTTAAATGATTTGATTTCAGTGAGGAAAATAAAGAGAATAGTCTAATGTCACCTTTAATGAGTTTACAGTATTAAGTAAGGTGTTTATATGGTTTACATGTACCAAAATGGATTGATTTGTTGTATTTGATTAAGTCTGACAATTGTATATGCTTGTGAGAAATGTCATCACAGTCATGATTGAGAATTTCTTGTCACCCTACAAGTGGAAGGCAGAGCCCCAGTCATAGTCTCAGGCAGCCATTGATCTGCTTTCTGTTGCTATAGATTAGTTTTGCCTGTCCTATAGTTGCACGTAAATGAAGTCAGACAGTTCATACTACTTTGTATCCTACTTGTTTTGTTTAATTTAATGTTTTGGGGGTTCACCTGTGTTACATGGACTATGAGCAGGCTTCTTTTCATTGATGAGCAGTATTCCATTTTACAGATTTACCAAAGTGTTTATATCCATTGAACTATTGGAGTTTTATTTTCAATTTTGGGTTGTTGGGAATAAATCTTTAAAATGCATTCATTTGCAAACCTATTTTGTTTTGTTTGAGATACAGTCTCACTATGTGGTCCTGGCTGTTCTAGAACTCACTATGTAGACCAGGCTTTGAACTCACAGAGATCCTCTTGCCTTTGCGTCCCAAGTGCTGGGATTAAAAATGTGCACCACCATGCCCAATTATTATTTGAAAATCTTCATGTAGATAAATTTTTATTTCCTCTGAGTAAATACATAGAAGTCTAATTACTTGTTCATAGTAACTATATTTTTAACATTATAAGAAACTGACAAGCCACTAAGTAGTTCCCATTTTAAATTCCAGCAACAGTGTATATATCTAGATAGCTTTCTTCAATCCTGTTTCTTACTGCATAGTTAGGTTGCTTTATTCTGTCTAACCTAACTTCATCCTAGAGCTTGGCAAACTTGAGATTCAAATCCTGTATCCACAAGTTTTACCTCTCTTAATAGGAAATACAGTCCCCAAACTCTGCTGCTTTTAATTTTTAATTTCCTGTGCGTGTGTGTATGTGTGTGTAGGTGTAGGTGTGTATAGGTCAGATAAGAACAGCTTGCAGGAATCAGGTCTTACAGGCCCAGGCATTGAACTCAGGTTGTCAGGTTAGGTAGCAGCTATCTTTACTGACTGAGCTGTCTCACAAGCTTGAGCCTACCACTTAATTCCTCTTTCTTACTCTGATTCAGTCTTTGTCCCTAATCTAGTTTTTTTTTTTTTTTTCATATTGTACTCTTGCCCAAAACACTTGGAATCCATTAAAAGTATGACTAATTTTTTTATTTCCAAGATGTTGGTGCTGCTGTCTCCCACATAGTAACTTTGCTCTTTGGTATTATAGAAGAGGTCTTGGGGTTTGACTTGGGGGCCTCTAAACAGCCTATGATTTGTATGCCCAGAATAAGACCTGACCAACAAGTCATCAGAGCACTAGTATTTCTCTGAGATGTGATACTAAGGATTCACTTAGCTGGACAACCTTCAGGCTTAGGACAGTACTTAATTCTGTTCTATGCATATATATCAAATTTATAAATCTTGTGCTTATATTTTAGGTCCAAACAGATATGTGAAAAATACACACAGACACACACAGACACACACACACACACCCCTTTTCATCCCAATCTCCATTTGTATTCAGAGTGTTGGGAATCTATATTTTATGTGCTCATACATAAAGTGCCTAGTTTAGTGTTATACAACCTCTGAGCACTCAATAAATATTAATTGAATTGAAATAATGGCATCTCTTATAAATATTCATGAGCAAATAAAACTAGCTAAATATATGGAGTATGAAGTACTCTTCTAGAAATATTTGAGTTAAAAATGATTAAAAAGTGGCATGGTGGTTTCATTTTGTGACAATCCAGCAACTGTAGGAATTCACTACTTATAGACAGTATACTAGAGAGAAGTGTATATAGTTTAATATGTAATTTAGTAAAATATAGTGATTTTACCATGGGCTCCGTCTTATGAGCCAACAAGAATTAACTAGGTTGAATGGATGAAATTTACCTCTGGTAGAAATAGTTGAAGCATTTGTGTGACTAATAATACTTACAAAGCACCTTCTTATGAAGGGGACTAATGCATGATCAAGTGGTAGAGCCTTGGTCTGGCCCAAGAACAAGAAGCATCTCTATTACTCAGCTGTTTTTTAACTTAAATACTAGAACTGTTCTGTCTAGTTAGCTGACATCATTTTTAGTATCTGAGATTCAAGTCACTTTAGAAGACAAGTGCTACCACTCTGTCTCTGAGATATGAAGTTTACACTGGACTTTGTTGTTGATTTCAACTAACCCCAAACTAAGCACACCTTAGTACATATGGCTGGTTACATATAACTATCTTAGAGTCAGTTAACCAGTGGAGAAGGGTCAGCACCAAATACCCAGTGCCATGAGGCAAGTCTCCACTATTTAGCATTTCTCCCACCCACAACTACTTTTCAAGAAATAACATTTGTGGAAAACAATGCTCTAGGCAGCTTTATCATTTACTGTTTCTCTCTTAATTGTCTGTGCATTCTGGTTTTTCCCCCACAGATCATGTTTCAGGCGTATGGAGACAAGCAGGGACCACTGCATGGAATGTTAATCAATACTCCATATGTGACCAAAGACCTTCTTCAATCAAAGAGGTTTCAGGCACAGTCCTTAGGAACAACATATATATATGATATCCCAGAGATGTTTCGGCAGGTAAAGGTGTCTGACGGGTGGGAGTTCTGAGGACACTAGCTTTCCCTGGATCTTCATTAGGTACAACTTTGCCTTGAGAAGGGCATTCACACAGACAGGAAATATCTTTACCATATTCTAATTTCTATTTCATTGATTGTTTTAGTGACTTTCTAACTCAAATCTTGGATGGCTGTTTATGAATTAACAGGTAGAATGGTGAGAAGAGAAATCTCAAATTGAAGAAAGTAAGCCCATAGCACGTGTTATGGCTTACAAGGACCCGTGTGAGGAGTCTCATGTGTATTACGTCTGTGATCAAATTAGAGATAGTAAAAAGAGGAATGGAACTCGGGCTTTTATACTCCTGTTTTCCAGGATGGTTCCTTAGCTTAAGCTAATATGATAGTCAATATAGGTAGCACAGACAAATGGATAGAGCAAAATTTACAGTTTGAGGTATAACTTATTTTGTAGGAGACTTATTATAGGTGAATTAAAACTAGCATGAGAAAAGTATGACATTATGAAGCTTTACCCTGTATGAAAATAAACAAATTGTTATGATGGTGAACCCTCTCCTATGCTATAGATTTTTCCCATCAAAAGTGTGGGGGGGGCATTTCACAAGCAAGTTATAACAAATAAAGAATAAAGCATCATAGGATACTGGATTTCTTTTTTTAAAAAAAAATTTTGTAGAATTTTTTGAGTCTTTTTGTCAATGCTATCAGTATTACCACATTTGAATCTTAATGTAATATTATCTGTGGGCTTGTTTGGTAGTCTGTGGTTCCAGTAGTATTCAGAAGAATGAGTTACCTTTATGTAACCACTTATGTATACCATTGTATCTCAAAACACACCTGCCTTCATGCAACACCTCCATTTTATGGCATAATTAACTATATAGCTACATGTGCTTCTAACTCCCAGTGTCAGTGCTATGTCCCTTTACTCGACAAGGGACACAGCTAGGACAGCTAGCTATGAGTTATTTGGGCTTCAGACGTTTAAGATAAGAAAAGATGGAGCTGAAGTAGATCCTGCTTCATAAACAAGTTGTTTTATTTACATAAGAAGCAGGACATGGGAATCCGGAGTGCTTTTAAAGGGCAGAGGTATGCCTGTATTCTCAAATTTGAGAGTAATTGATCTATATTTATAGTCATACCCACCTTAACTAATTTCCATGTATGGGCCTATCACTGTGAAAAGTTGAAGGAATCAGGGTATCAGCTGGGTGAGGGTTCAGGGGACAGGTCACTATGGCTCTGCCTATGATTCGATTGTCCTTATCTAAGTTGGTATTATCTACCAAGGCTACCTATTACAAGGCCTATGACTACTCAGGCTGGTAAATTGTCACAGAAAAGTGCCTGTTTACAGTAGCTTATAGCCATCTGTTTCAGTGTTTATCCACAGAGACCCAAGACTTGGTGTTAGTATACATGTATGACAGGCCTATTGCTGTTTTATACAGGGTGTTCCCAAAACCCATTTCCACCCAACCTAAAAGAGGAGACCCCTAGACCCCTAGACCAAGCAGAGAGGGGCCACCCAGAACCCTCTCTGACAGGCGACCTGAATTCTTAGGCTGCGAGGCTAAGCACTGCAAGGGAATACCAATAAAAGTTAAAAATATCTCTCTGGGTTCCCTGAGGGACAATCCTGACTGCATAGGGGTTGATGTCAAAAATTCCTGACTTTTGACCTACTAAAAAATGCTCTAAAAATGGTTCCAAGTATATGTTTGCTGAGAGTGAAGGTTGGAGCATTTGGTCCAAGGCTCACACTCTCCTTAGCGCTCTTGGAAAAGAAAGCAGAGTCAGAGTGACTGAGTTTGACGTTGATTTTTATCCATGTTGAAATGTTAATTGTTACTGATAAGTCAAACTTCTTTCTTCCATTAGTCGCTCATCAAACTCTGGGAGTCCATGTCCACTCAAGCATTTCTTCCTTCACCTCCTTTGCCTTCCGACATACTGACGTATACTGAACTGGTGTTGGATGATCAAGGCCAGCTGGTCCATATGAACAGACTTCCAGGAGGAAATGAGGCAAGTAGATAAGCCCTTGTCCCTTTCCAGGTCTGTGTCTACTAGTACCAGCCTTCCATGAGTGCTGTCATTACACAGTAGGAGCTAAGACTCAAGTAGGAGAGTCAGGGCAATATTTGGTGTAGATTTCCTCAGTGAGAGAATGGACCAAATCCAGAAATCACTGTAAATTTTTAGATATGATAATGGCATTGCAATTGTGCTTTTTGAAAAGGGGTATTTTCTGATGGGCATACATACTTTAAAGATCAAGGTCTAATGTTTTGGATTTGCTTTAAGCTAGAAGTGAAGGTAGGAATGTAAGTGGACTAAGATTGTGGGTTCAGAATTGAAGATACATGAGAATAGATTATTTCCCCTTTTTTACAAAAGTTTGGAATTTTGAGATCCTTAGGTCTTTTTTTTTTTATACTTGAGTTACTGGGTTTGGTGATATTGTGAGCATGATAAAGAAGTTCTTACTAAAGGGCTCAGTCAGAGCCAGCGGTTTAAAAGAAAAGAAGCACAAAAACGGTTGGTTGGTTGGTTGGTTGGTTGGTTGGTTGGTTGGTTGGTTGGT